TAAGGGTATAAAAAATTTATGTATAAGACACTATTCTACAGTACCTACTGAATATACATATAAAATTTCATCAAAATCGGTTGCTGCTTCTGGAGGAGTACGGTAACTTCAAAACCACCCAAAACTGTAACATGGGAATTATATAGGATGCAATATCATATGAAAACCGTAGAGTGCGGAGAGCGGAAAGACTGATTATAGCAATATTTAGAAATTTAAAACTATTCAAGAAAGTACACACAAAACAAAGGCAACGCCGCGCGTCTATTCGTTCAATTCGAAGAAATAGTTGGAGGCTTCACGAAGCTAGGGCCTCGCTCGAGGTGGCGGTATTCGTCCTACGGGTATTATCCCACCAACCGAACGCCATTTCTGGCAGCTCCTACGGGTATTTGTCCTACCAACCGAACGTCACTTCGGGCATGTTCTGTAGTCCTTAAAAATTCCTGTTTGCAGGAATTTTGTCCTGGCTTAATTGTACTAAATCTGTCAACGTCGCCATTATTTTTCTTCAATCTTGTTTTGTTTTGGAATTTGGACAAGATTAAGCTCTAGAAAAGTTTAAAATTATACTTTTTATGAACGGATTGACGAATAATGTTATGAATAATGTAATAGAACCTGATATAAAATAAACCAGAAATATTTAAGCAAGGTAAAGCATAAACAAAATGAAAGTGATAGCAACACGACTTACCTTTAGATAAAATCAGTTATTATATAAGAAGAAAAAAAAATACATGGGTTGAATTTAGGTGCTACCATCTAGGATAATAAATGTTTTCCTACGGATTCCGTGGGTCCAAATATCACTTAAACTCACTGATAAAATACTATAACGAATTTATTTTCACGTTTTATACACAATTACTAACTTATGAACACATAAACTAACTATTTATAAGATTCCTTCACCAAATTGTCCGATTTTCATTTTTCACGCAATATATTCAAATTTCAAAAATAAGCTCAGTTGTCGATTATATAAAAATTAATATACTTATTGACTGCTTTCGAAGCATTCCCCAATTCTCGGAAAGCGTAATTTTTCATACCAGACAATAATGTCTGATTCCCTTACTTCTCGACTTGACTAAAAGTATAAGCCTTCCGAAAAAGTCTTTAATTTCTGGCGGATACGTTGCGGTTGTGCAGGCAACCAGTAATGTATACATTTTTAATTTCTGGCGGATAATATTTTTTCTTGACATTGCCCCCTTTCAAATTTGATCGTCCCGATCAAGGTTTCAGCCCTGATATCTCTATCAATTTTTCCAGATGGAACGGCCTTTCATCTTACTTTAGAATAGCTGAAATGAGTTATATAAAAATAAACATATTTATGCCTCTTAGATGACTGTATAAACCTCCCGAAATGAAAATTAACTTTGGGGGATGCTCCCTTTTCATGCGCTGTGGGTTCATATAATATTATCCGCTATCGTCCTGTATAAACTACCGTAGAATTTAGCTCTGGAGGTCGTAACAGAAAAGTTCATCCGCTTATATAGAACAGCGTAAAAAAAATACTTGGACGAAGCACTTTTGAATTCGAAAAAAAAAACCTTCCTAACAACTCTTTAAAACGACCGTCCAACGTTATCTTGTTCCATAATATTCCTCCAGAATCACAGTTAATTATTATCCTATAAAGCTGCGCAAATCTTAACAACGTTGACACCATTTCTTAACATCTTCACAAATCCACCCAGTAAAAATGGTCTTTCAGCTTGCTCAGGGTAATTGTTTACCCCAAGATGGGCTCCAGTTTTACCACCATGAATTTCTTCCAAATACCCAAGTGACTTTCTTCCTTGGCAATTCAGTAACTGAGTTGTTGGCGACCTGCCATCCGCACTTTCCCACGTGCGCTTTAACAACCATTCTCAATCACCAGTGAATTCCACTGAGCCCAGAGAGCTTTGAAAACCAGCCCTCTGTCCGCAATATCCTGCGACGGTGGTCTCTCAGTTACCTTCCTTGAGCCGTAGTATTGCGAGATGTCTGGGATCTTTCATTATGATCGGCTTCCTAATTGTATCGTCGTGCCAATTGTTTGTAAAATCTCAATAAAAAAAAATTCCGCAGACTCTGATAGTGCTTTCATGATGTTTCATTTTGTCCAAAACACACGTCGTCGATTCTAGTCGTTGTCGTAAGAGATTTGTACTGTCCTACACGGCGAAAATGAGAGGTTTCGCATTTTCTCGGAACACAGTCTATCTTGGTACTCACCAGGTTCTATCACGCATTTCGATGATCTTTCTTCCATATTTCCTGGTCTCAGCTCTCTTAGTTGACAGAAAATATATCATTTCCGATTTTCAGGATGTTTCTATGGTGATCAAACGAAAACCATGTTGACTGATCACATCCATACCCATGATAAAATCATCTTCAAAATGTGCGTTGCCACTCAAAACGCTATGCCGTTGGCTTCAAATTCCCCTTAACTCCAATTCCATGAAAGCCTTCTCCCCGTACAACGGCTATTTCCTGCAACTGTACGTAAGATACACTCTTCTTCTAAGAGGCATCATCTTCAATCCTTGCACTGAGTTAGTCCGCACCAACGATACCATAGCGCCTCTTCAATCCTTGTACTGAGTTGGGGTCCGCACCAACGATACCATAGCGCCTGTGTCCACAGTCATTCGAATTCTTCTCTATCATTGACCTTCCTGTTGATCACCAAACTGTCAGCGGTTTTTCCTAGACTCCTAACGGAAAAACATCCTAGGGGCTCTTGTTTTCTTCAGCCAATACTCGCTCATTAGTGTTGATTTCCTGACGTTTTTTCGACCGATGGTATCTGGAATCGCATTTGACGCGGCAATCCTATCTTGATGTTGGTTCATTTTGGTTGTTGATCTTTTATATTTAATTTATGTCCTGGGATCTTCGATGTGCCGATGTTCTCACGATGGTGAATGGAATCAAGCATCTAAATGGATGCGATTACTCCCACCTAAAATGCTGGCCATTCCTGCCACATGCTATAGCAACTTTATGCTCCCTGGGATTTTATCTCTGTGCCTGATGTTCTCTGGATTTTGTCCGACCATCGCATTTGATGCGAGGGATCTCGTTTGTCATTGTCACTTTCCTGCCGCATCCATGTCAGCCCCTCATAGCCGCAGGAATTTTCATTTCTTTGGTTTTCTTAAAACAATTGTTTTGTCGATTTTCTTATATAAACGTTATGTGAGAACTATTTGGCTGTTCAGTCAACCGTATACCGAGCTTACAGATATTCTGTTTAGGAATGGCGCTAAATGCAGCTTCTATTTTCAGCGTTCTGACGAGGCGCTTCGCTGCTGGTAGAAAAATCGCGATATTTGCAGCGCCTCTGTAATTCACTGTAATTCATTGTCCCTCAGTCCGCTGGATAAAGCACTGAGCAGCCAGTTCTTCCTAAATCCTTCCGGTGCTTCTGGATACGCTAGGTGTACCAGGCGACGTAAGTCTGTGCTTCGAATTCCCGCAGACTTCGACCTCTGCAGGCGTAATCTTGATCTGTGCCTGGTAAAGTTGGCGTCGATGTTGGTCGCCATATCTTCTGTCCAGTGCAGCGACCAAAGTTTGGTATTCCTGCTGTTGGGCTGCAGGAATAGTTTGCAGGAGTTCCAGGGGCAGGGCCACGCAGCGATGACATGATGCGCCATGGCTTTCCTGGTCAGTCCATCCAAGTTGACAGCAGCCGCTGCTTCAAACTGGCGGGTGGTACATCGTCCAGGTGGTTTCGCCCATCGTAGGTCGTGGGGCCTGAGGTTCGCAGTTCCATGAACGCCATGGTGTCCATATTTGTACCTTGGTCTTCTGTAGGTCCATTCTAATTTTTCCATTTTCTCGGTTGAAGGCGTAACAAAAATATCTTCTACCGGCTGAGTCTTAAATAGTGATTCTATTTTTCCTGGCAACGCATTTCCAACATTAAGCTTCAGAATCTTTAAAGGATGTCTCCGAAAAAATTTTCTGAAAAGTCGGAATTTCCTGATTTTCTAAGATTTTCGAATGTCTCTTAAATAATGTAAGGTATTTATTTAATTAAAATTGGTGATTTATTTTATCTTTTATATATAAAATAAAATTGAAAAACTGATCAAGACACATTGGTTAAAAATGGCCAAAATACATTTCATTCTGCATTCTACTTTTTATTAGTCAAATTTTTATCCTTATAAACGCCCATTCCTAATACACTTGTTGTCGTTGGATTTCTCAAATCTTCGAAAATTTTGTCTTGATTTTCAGAATTTTCAGTAAGCGGTCCTGTTCTTCTGCTTTTCTTAGTCGGGCTCGCTCTTCTTCCTCGTTCTTTACGGAGTCTTTCTTGATCTTCTGCTTTTTCTTTCGCAGCCTCTCTTGTTCTTCTGCCTTTTCTCTTCTCATATTCTCCATAAAATCGCCCAATTGAATTTCGCTTGCTTCCTCCATTTTCTTCGCTTGACTGTCTCAGTACCAAAAAGCCATCTCGCCCACCCGGTGGCGGTATTCGTCCAATCCACTTAATTTCTCCTAAAATCCTCTTGAATCGTCACTTCCGACATGTTCAATTGTCCTACGGATTCCGTGGGTCCAATTTTTCCACAACTCACGTATAAAATACTGTCAACGTCGCATACTTTTCAATCTTGTTTTTTGTTTTGGAATTTGACAAACTTATAACACACAACAAACTAACTATTTATAAGATTCCTTATCAATTAAATTGTCCGATTTTGTTATGAATCACGCGGTATATTCAAATTTCAAAAACTGTCTCAGTTGTCGATGGCTCCGGCTTATATACTTATTGACTGCTTCTCGAAATTTCAAACACGATTACCTCGGAAAATGTATTTCTTCATATAAGACAATTCTACATGTCTTGATTCCCAGGTGTGTATCTAGACTAAAAAGATGGCGCCTGAAAAAGTCTTTTAATTTCTGGCGGATACGTTGCGGTTGTGCAGGCAACCAGTAATACATTTTTAATTTCTGGCGGATAGGTCATTTTTCTTGACAATATGTATTCAAACAAAAGCTGTAAAACGATTAACAATTTTTAGAAAATATTAAGCTATCCACAAATTCCTGAAAATAAATTAGCCGTGATTTGCGGAAAAAATGTTCTTAATTATTTTTCCCACATGATGTCCTTTCAGGTTCCAGGTATGTGATATTGTTTTAATTGCAAGATCGTAGCTTACAAAAATTCATTCTTCAGGAAACAGCACGGGCATGTATTAGGCATAATAAGTAATTATAAAAATATGAGCAAAAATGAGATGGTTTAAAAGAGTGAAAATTTTAAGGTTAAGAAATCTGAAACTCAAAGGAAAACTGATTAAAAACTGATAAATAAGTACCGTTAAACTGGAAAAGCAAACTAGTAAGTATTTTATTATGAATCTATTCACTATAACATTGTGGTATTTTACGAAATGTATTTCTTTTGAATTACAGCTATACGCATAATACAAAAGACAATTTATCATCTTTAAAACCATAAGGCATATGATATATGAGATAGGTAGGTATGTACCATGTGGTAGGTACAATATGATCGAAAAAAAAACGGCGTCAGTGATGGCTATGAAATGAAGATCGGTGTCTTTTATATGTAAAATTATATAGGGAATGTCAAGGATCGTCATTTCCAAGCCAACTGGACGCCGTTTTTTCGATTATATGAGACATAAGTGTCAGCCTTCCTAGACCACAGACCTTTATATTATACTTCTAGCACAAGGACATATCGGCAAGCCTTAGGTTGGTGTTTACGCGTGTAGGTGTGAATCGCTATGGTGATCTGGTCGGAGATAGAAAAATATAAAATATTTATTACATAACCACACTTAATCTGATGATTTCCTATGCATTCAATACCAAGTTCAATACATCTGATTGTAATAAGCATATTGGCCATACTCTTCATATACATGAAAATCGTATCAATCGTGTATCACATAGCACATTTAAGAGGACTGATCCTATAAAGGCATTTATTTTTGTTTTCTATTTATAACCTCGTTAACTCATTTATTTTGTAGATTTATTGAATATTAAGCTCTAGGATAAAAAAACCTGCTTAGACAGAACATGGGTATTTTCGAATACTTTATTTAGAAGATCTTGTCAGGACAATGATATAAGATTACAGAAAAATATCTGACGTAGGACAAATGTATAAAGTCTTCAGGATACCCTTCGGGAACAATTTAGAATGATGCAGCGTAAACTACAGTAAAGTCTGAACATTAAAGCATAAAGGTAAATAAATTATCCATACATGTGTGCAGCAAAGTCGTAATATAATAAATTTATTGTTTTCAGAAACAAAATCCACAACTTATTCTGCCAAATACAAATAGTACACATCTTATTTTACTAAGCGTGTTGACCGTACTCTTCATACACACAAAAATCGGCACCCAAGGCCTGAAATGCCAACTCTAGTATACCTATTCTATGTAATAAATATTTTTTTAAGTATATTTATTTGTATTATTATCTTTCTAGATTAAAATATTTTTAATCAGTCTGAGAATCAATATGAATTTATTTTTAAAAAAGAACGAGTATACCTAAAAGCAAAAATGATTTAAGTTAGTATGTCAAAATAATAAGTTAAGGTATTTTTAGAAAACCTGTATTTTAAATTGCAAAAGCTGATAGAATTTCAAATATTTTTCAAACTAAAAAAATGTATCGATCTGAATTAATTTTTCAAATATAACCAGAAAAAAATATCTATCTTAAAGTTGCAGCTGTGGTTGCAATACTCTGTATTGCTAAAAAACATTTTATTTATTAAAATTACAAAATTACGGTATAAAGTTATAAAAAAGTACTTTATAAAAAAAGATCTCCAAATTGTCAAGAAAATAATAAAAAGGGAAAATTCTGAAATTTACAGAAATTTCTTTTTCACTTTATTCCAATTATGTTAATGAGAGTGAAAGTAAAGACTATGGAGAGCTTATTCGTAGTAAAGTAACTAGTTAATTAGTTATTCTGTGTATAGCAAAGACTACCTGTAACGACCCCTAAAAGTAGTTAATAATAATTTAACATTAATAATTAGGTATTTCTTGCCTGAGTGCCTTGAGACAAAACCGGTAAAATAATAAGAACAAAATATGTGAGCAAAGGAATTCATAAAAACCGTAATATGTAAAGTTGATTAAAACAAATTACATATAAATATATATAAATACTGTAAAATCAAAAAAAAAACAGCTGGAAGAGCAGCAATTTTTTTTCAATTGTATAGTACTGTATGATCGAAAAAAAACGGCGTCCAGTTAGCTTGTTAATGATTATCGATGACATTCCCCATATAATTTTAAATATAAAATGACAGCAATCATTATTTCATAGCCGACCACTGTGACCATTGTGTATTATTCTTATTACTAATACTGCACCCAATCACTTTTTTGACAATAATCTATAAAAAATAAAAAGGTAAACAATTTTTCATATTATAAAATAATTTATTTCATTACAGGCCATAGGCACAAACCGTCATTTTTACTCCGAATAGGACATGCTATTTTTTTCAAACGTCACAAATATTTTTTTAAACAATTTCAAACTTTGCAAATAATATAACAAGATTTAAAAGTAATACCTTTGTAACTAATTATACCGTATGAGATCGAATAAAAACAGCGTCAGCGATGGCTATGAAATGACAATCGATGACATTTCCCATATAAATTTACATATAAAATGACAGCGATCTTCATTTCATAGCCATCGCTGAGGCCGTTTTTATTCGATCATACGGTACTTATATCGAGAAACTATGGTTACACTCGCCGTTGAATTTGACACTTTATAATCAGTTTAATAATATATTTTCGTACTTTGTGCTTGTATGCGTAAAAGTGCTTTATTTTTATGCCTAGGCATTAAAATTACTTTTATTTTATAATCACGTCGCCAAAATTAATACTTTTGTTGCGTTTGAAAAAAAAATCATTTATTTGTAAGTTTTATAACATATCTAATTAAATTGGGCCGAAAGGAGTCAGTTCTGAACACACATCCGTGGTTCTGAATCATTCTTAATTTATTTTTAAAAAAGAACATAAATACCTAAAAACAAAAAAAATTAAAGTTAGTAGATATGTCAAAATAATAAGTAAATTAGATATTTTTAGAAAACCTGTATATTTATTTAATTGGAAAAACTGATGAAATTTCATATATCTTTCAAATTAGAAATTGTATCCTAATTAATTTTTACTCTAATTGCTAAAAAACGAATATTACAAAAATTAAGTTATAAAGTGAGTTTAGTTATATTAAAGTTCACCATATTGTCAAGAAAAAAAATTATTGCTTTTAAATTAAAAAATTATGTGCAAGTTAGGTTAAACTACAAGTTAAACAATATAGATAATCAAAAAGTTTTTTGATAAAATTTGCTTTTTATGATGTCAGATCATTTCTATGAAAAATACACTAGATAGAATACATTAGATTTTTATTAAAGACGCTGATGGGTAACTAAAACATTGACTAATAAACCTTGTCCATTTTAATATAAGAGGTCACGACATATTCCCCTTGGAATCTTTGTGAAGGTGTAAGGGGTGTATAATAAATTAATCCTTGTTTTATAATAAAAACCATAAAACATTTATTTGTGAGTTAAATAAACGCCTGCCCTCGCCTGTCATAGGCAACCAAAAATACATATAAAAAAATCTTGTAACTTTAGATGAACTTTAGTAATTATGTCAGTAAACTCTTAATTGGGCCTCTAGTCTATTATATTTAATGTACAAATATATTATTAAATTTTAATCATAGATTAAATATTTTAATCTAAGCATTAAGTAATAAAACTATTTGTGCCCATTTATCATAAGAGGTCACGAAATATACTCTTGGTAGTACACAAAACAGTGTAAGGGGTGTAAATAAAATGTATAATCATTGATTTTTTATAATATAAACTATAAAACATTTATTTCTTATTTGTGAGAATAAAAAAACAAAACAATGCATAATATAAACTATTTTAGAATTAGGTATAGGCAACCAAACACACAAGAAAAATAATTTAGATAAAACCTTGTAATTATTTATTAAATATGTCAATAAAGTCTTAATTAAGTCTCTAGTCTATTTTTATTTTATATTTACATAATATAAATACCTTACACTCTTTTTCCGATACAGAAAATTTTGTTAATTGCTTCTTGAAAATGCGACAACCTGACAACGCTGTTTTTAACGTTCGGGACGCGTTCGGGTGGACGACTCTACCCGAACAACTGGTAGGACAGATGCTCATTAGGACAGATGTGGTTCTCCCCCTCGCTCGCCAAAGCGAGGCTCCATCGACAGGTCAGATTTTGATGCGAGACGAGACTTCTAGGGTATTAAGATATTCTTTGATAGGACTCATCATAATTTTACAGATTTCTGTAAAAAGAGCGTCGCCGTCGAGGTTAGCAGCTAGGTTCGGTATTTAGATCTGCAAGCAATCCGACGAAATTTTCGACATATCACATATCACACCTCACACCGCACACGTCACTATATAATGCAAAATCTCTTTAAGATCACGTGGTTTATATCATAGACAAACTAACAAAAGCTTTTGTTAGTTTGTCTATGAATTGAAGTCTAAAGGAGGAGGCAGATCGAACACGCAAAAATTATGGGCCCAGTTTTTGAGATCTAAATGAAGTTCGAAAATCGCCGTTAGGGGCGCTTGTGATGATTGGGATACTAGAAATACACAGCTTCTTATGGCAAGAATAACTATTTTGTTATAAATTATAGAGCCAAGTTAATATTTGGGCATATTTTTACCAGAGTTAGCTTTTAGAAACGTGGTTTTTCTAATTGAGCAATGTGCGTGGCTAAAATTGTGAATACAAAACCTTAAATTTGAGTTTGAAAAGTTAGTTAGGTTATATTAGATGCCGGTTTAATATATCCTTTTCCTAAGTTGATATTATAAAAATGTTTTATTATGTGGTTCTTTTTAGTGCATACACGACCGAAGAAACATATAAGCTGCTAAAATAAATCTTCCCTAGAACTGTTGTACAAAAAAGATAGAAGTTCCAGCAACAAATTTATCACCAGTTCAACCTTTGATTTGATGTAAACAGTAATTGTTTCTTGATGAGAAATGCGAATGAAATAGTTTATGGTGTGATTGTGTTAGTGTTTTATTAATAGTTTTGTTGATGCAGTTTAAAGGTTCATAGTTTTTCATTAAAACATTTGAAATTGACATGTTTACATGCAGTTTAGTGTGATACCATTTTAATAAACATTAAAATCTTTCGAACTAGTAGTGGTTTTATGGCGATTGACAGATTGAATAACGAAAATTAAGAGTATTTTATCAGGAATAACTTAATCATAAATGGAAACTGAAGACGAACGTTACCATTGCACCCTTTGATCGGTGTTATCTATTCCATAACTTTTTATAGCTGAAACTAGAGAGTAGGTATATTGAGCTGAAACGTTTCCTGTGTTCAATAGCGTTTTTTCTAGCGTTGAATTGTAAGTTTTAATGTCATTAGCAAAGTTTTGCAAATTGTCACTGTTTCGTAGACAATTAAATTCAAGATATATTATATTCAATGTCACCTAATAATTGTAAAGGTTTTTCTATTGATATTCACTTTATTAATATAAGGTAGGTTTGTAAATAAAATATTAATGAATAAATAATGTACTCAGTTTATTTCAAAAGCACAAAAATACAGAGTTGTGAATATGTATATACGCTGACTTATTTCATCATATAAATATTTATTTAGCAATATTAATACATTACAACTTTTGTTTCTATTAACTAATTCCACTAAATTTAATAAATAAAATATACAATATATAAATTTAATATACAATTTAGCACTTAGATATTAAATATCTATATGTACTATGCCAAAAAATAGTTCCGTCAGTTAATTTGATCTCATAATGAGTCAAAATATCTTCATCTAGAAAATGTAGTTCACAAACAGCATCTTTGCTGCTAAGTGTCTTGTCTGATCTGGGTATCGCCTTTTGCCACTGCTGTAGCAAGCTAGGATCCTAATAAAAGATATATAATTGTTAAATAAAATAAAAAAAAAACATTTTTCACTATTAAAGCTGTTATTTTGAGAATACGATCTTGAAGTATAAATATTTAATATTCACTTTCAATAGCACTGTTCAAACTGTGGTTAATATAGGTACATGTCAACAGGTAATTTTAGCACCTAGTAAGTATTAAATTATTTTAATTTTATAACAAGGCCTCCTAGGTTATGTTATACACATGTTGATTTTAGGCTATATTTCCTATTAATTTGGTTTATAATTTAATCTGTACACTGACAGTATATAATTTTAATGTTTTTCTTAACATCTATCCATAATTTTTATAAATAAATAGTCATACTACTTACATTAGGAGCTTTGAAAAGGCTTGGGTTTCTTTCACCCCGTTCTTTATTTGCCTTGTTTTTATTGGGATTCCCACTTGTACAGCCAGGTACAAAGCAATTTCTACCACGACTCATTGTTGTACTGCTAAAAATTCAGTAAATTAACTATAAATTTTATTAAAAACACAATTAAATCGTATACTAACAATGAAAATGTAGTATCCCAGTCGATCGCAGTGCCTCTGCTGTCAAACCGAGGAAGCTGCTTAAAAGTGGGGACAGAAATTTCAAATTTGCCCATTGCCGATAAATCTCCTTTTTTTAGCCCTCCATATCTATGGTTTATATAAAAAAAATGTCGGATTGGTCGCAGACCTAAAGACCGCACCTGGCTAGTGATTGTGGAATTTGGGTATGTTCGCCGTGGAATATAATTTTGGACCATTGGCAACGCTGGAGGTTATAATAAGTTGAAGCTTTAAAAAACACATAATGTATTTAAGAAAACAGAAGAAATATGGCTTCAAATATAATATTTACATCATATTATCTCTATTACACCTCATACAAAGGAAAATTATTTATAATATCAATACATAGTTTATTAACGTAGTTTTCATGTAGTTAATGAACGGGAAAAGACGTAGTTTTAGAAGAAAAACTATACGTAGTTAATCAGGTAAATTACGTCTTAATTAACTACTTCCGAACCCTGCTTTTGAGGTCTTTGATACAAGCGTAGCTTTATTACAGTATTTTACGTTATTTTAAAAGTAAAAAATCTGCCTCAAACAACTATTATAGACAAAGAGTAGATATAGATATGGATATTTATTTACCCATCCCTGTTTTAAAAGCCACCCATAGATAGCCATTTGGAGAGCCCGAATTATTTATCAATAGTTATTTGACAGCGTGCAGCGTGGCAGCGTCGCAGTTCGCAGCTAAGTTCATAAATAAAAGAACCTCTGTGGGGGGGTTAAGTTTATGACTTTTGACAGTTTATGAAGAGGAGATCAGGGCCATGTAAGTGAAATATTAAAAATGGTTCCAGCAAAAGTTTCCCAATTATGACGGATGATGGCGCTGATCGTCAAATTTTTGGACAGGGATTTTGCTTACCGACAATACGACGTGAGCTACGACCGGACCAGGACCAATCAGAATGATCGTGCTGCAGTCTTATTATGTTAAAATTAATTTTTGAAGTATTGTATCACCTGTTTTTATGTAATAGTACTTTTAGTTCTATGAGAGTTGTTTCTATGTTATGATTTGTTAATGTTTGTTTAACAGTGTTATACCAAAGGAGTTATACTTAATATACTTATCAATTTGCATAGCCTAACTTTTTTATCAATAAACTTTGTAGATTTTCAGATTATTTAATTCCTTTTGTTTCCGTTTGTAAATTTTATTTTTAAGACATATTATGTGATTGTTTCACATAATGTGTTTTTAAAAATAAATTGCAAATAGCGAATAAAAATAATTAAAATAAAAAAGTGTATTTTACAATTCCCCCCGGCCCCGCACCCCTTTGGCTAACCTATAATGTCAGCTATGTCGAGAGATGGCGTTACGAAAATGGAACCGATTTATTACAAGGAACTTGGGCTTCTTTTTCGTTAGTATATTCTGTGGAGGAGATTATGGAACAGTTTCGAGTTCGAGGGGAAGCCGCGGAATACCAGAACGTGTAAAATGGCGGATAACGACATCGATTTATATGCTGATGATATAGAGCAGGATTTCGCACAAGTAAGATATATTTAAGTTTTTTAATACCCGGTAAATTAACATTTAATCCATGCATTTCATACACAACTGTAGAATGTAATTGTAATAGTACTATTTTTGAAAACCGGCAAGGCGTTGCTTACCTTCATGTTGTAGTTACAGTTTCATTATTTTAAGGATGAATATTCTGGCGAAAATGTTGATCTATACGATGACGTTATTGCAACTCCGGCTGCATCAAATAATGCAGAAAATGCGGACACAAAATTTGAAAACCGTTCAAATGAAAATACAAATGGGGCTGTAGTAGCTGCAGCATCGCATAACACATCAGGTAGAAGACATCAACTGTATGTGGGAAATCTAACATGGGTACTAAACTAGTTTTAATTTAAATGTGTTCTTCAGTTTTAATATTGTATTATTAATTTTAGTGGACTACTGACCAAGATATAGCTAATTCCATTCATAGCATTGGCATAAATGATTTTCATGAAGTTAAATTTTTTGAGCAACGTGCAAATGGTCAGTCAAAGGGTTTTTGTGTGATTTCTCTTGGTTCAGATGCCAGCATGCGAAAATGTTTGGATTTGCTGCCTAAAAAAGAACTCAATGGTCAGCATCCAGTTGTTACACCAACTACAAAGCAGGTAAGTTATTATAGTACAAATGAATACATTTAACTAATTTTGTTATAATTTGTATACCTAGGCACTTTCAAATTTCGAAAGCCAATCAAAAACTCGACCTTCTCCATCAAATAATACTAATTCAAGACCACCACATCAAGGTCCCCCAAATCAAGGCCCTATGCCAAACTTTGGAGGAAGAATGCCTATGAACCAAGGTCCAATGAGGGGACCAATGGGTCCTCCAGGTGGTCCCAGAATGCAAGGCCCACCAGGTTATAATGGCCCTCCCAATATGAATCAACAACCACCGAGATTTCAGGGACAACCACAGTGGAATGGACCTCCACGACCCAATGGTCCTGGACCAAACATGGGACCGATGCGTCCAGGTCCTCCGCCAGGTCCTCAAGGTCCACCCAGACCTCATATGGTATTATTTGTGTGAATAACTTAACGAGATATTTGCTTAACGTGCAGATTTTCAGTTCCAAGGACCACCACAGGGTCAAGCGCCCAGAATGCCTCAACAAGGACCCCCTCCTGGTGGTCCCGGTATGCGTCCTGATTGGAATCGTCCACCGATGCAGCAAGGCTTCCCACAGGGTCCTCCTCCAATGCAAGGACCTCCTAGGGGGCCGCCGCCGATGCAAGGTCCACCAGGAGTCATACCGCCGCAGGGACCACCCCAAGGACCCGCTCCACATGTTAATCCGGCCTTTTTCCCACAAGCAGGAGGCCCGCCACCTATGCAAATGGGTGGACCCGGGCCGGGACCTATGGGTATGTATCTTTTTTAGTTACATACATTCTAAATTTTTTTGCAAAAATCTTATACATTCAGTAAAATTACTGTTGGGGGTTGGAATATTTGTTGTTACAACAGCACTAAATACTTTACTTTTAACAGCGGTTTTAATCAGTTGCTGATAATGTTAACATGATTAGTGAAACGCGCTTTCAGTGTTAAGACTAAAGTATATTGTGATGAAACAGTTTTTTATTTCGCTTTCATTAAAATATTTTTGCTGAATGTGTTATCAACCATACAATTGAGAAAAAATGGTATACTTGTTTTTTCCTACTCTCACTAGATGTCATAAATTAAAGATTGACACAGATTGACATAACATCTTCAGTCAAAAATTAAGTCTCTAGACAAAGAAATCGTTTAAAAATATTTTCTCTGCAATTTTGAATCACATCAATCCTATTCATAGTTTTTACCATTTTCTATGTTGAAGTAAAAGTGTTAAGTCAATTTTAAGTCCTGATACACTTTGCACATATAGTCTGTCCCAAGACAAGATCCTTGACAGTGATAGATGTGTCTGTCATTTTATTTTCAAAGTAGTTTATTTTATTTTACTAAGAAATAAGTTGGTACAATTGGAACGCATCGCATAGCAGAAAATTAATATATTTAAAATTTGTGTGACGAGTGATTACTTCAAAATATTGTGAAAAAAAAACTTTATAAAATTGAAAAAATCAACAAATATGAAATGAATATGAATAAAATTACACAATTATATTTTATTAAAAACAGTATTACAGTATGTGGTAATACAAAACAAGCAAGGGTGTATTTAAAAAAACACCACATACAAAAAAAGATATAAAAAAGATTTCCTGCTTTGACGCCGTGTTTCAAGCTCAAGCAACTATCTGCATTTATTGTTACATTTATCAGTATAATTATTCAGTATGATTATTATTTACCTATTGTGTGCTGCTTTTATATACTCCAGTTTTTGGTATCATATTACAAGATAGTATACAAACTTTATTTGTAGCTAATACAACTCTCTGTCCATAATCTCTGGCAAACTGTCTCTCTGGGCACCGAACATTAACTGTAAACTATGATCTGAGTCAACACTTAATTTCCCCTTTGAGTTTTCCTCCACTTAATTTTAAAAAACACAAAACACGTAATAACACAGTCCAAAATGCAAAAAACAAAATATTTATCATTTCTACTTGACATAATTTGACAAAATTATAACCTATAATTTGGCAAGAGTTTGACAACTCTCACAAATATTAAGTCGAGTTCATACACATCGGCGTCCGTTTGTCGTTCATCTGTCATTTTTGAAATAAACTAATAAAACTGGTTAAAAACAACAAGAGATGACGCATTACGGATTTATATATAAACCCATCCATAGTTAACTTAAAAAATATTAGAAACTTTTTAGTTAAAAAAAAATGGATTGGTATGGACGTCATCTGCTTTTTTTCTGTCATCGTCTGTCGAAATCTTACCTGAGAAAAAAAAACAGAGTATAACTAGTGTTGTAAAATGCTCAAAAATTTATTTTTGGAGAACTTTTTCCGAGAGTGAACAAAAATAAACGAGTAAATGTTTAGAATTTATAGTTGGCGCAATGTAATGTAATCAACTACTACTGGCAGTATTAATATCGTTATATTTTACAGTTATGCCACAAGGCCCTCCTCATGGGCCACCCCACGGTCCTCCCATGGGACCCCAACAGGCTCCTCCACACGGACCACCTCACGCTTACGGTCCTCCAACAAACATGAGCCAGCCACCTTACGGAGGACCGCCACCCGAGCATAGATCAGATATTCCTCCGATTAGTGAGCAGGTATTTAAAAAAATCATAAGACTCTATTTATTATTAATAATTTATATTGGTTATTTATTACAAAAGGAGTTTGAGGATATCATGTCTCGAAACAGAACTGTCTCGTCCTCGGCCATTGCTAGGGCTGTTTCTGACGCGGCCGCTGGAGAGTATGCCAGCGCCATCGAGACATTGGTAACGGCCATTTCGTTGATCAAGCAATCGAAAGTGGCTAATGATGACAGGTGCAAAATTTTGATCAGTTCGTTGCAAGACACGTTGCGAGGTGTCGAAGATAAAAGCTATAGCAGCTCGTCGAGAAGAGACAGGTCTAGGTCTAGGGATAGGTCTCACAGAAGAGTGAGACGTGAAAGATCTTCATCAAGGTAAGTTAATTATTAATTTGAGGTATTTTTATATAATTAATATAATTGTTTAATAGAAGTTACTTTTAAATTTTGATCTCGAGGTAATTGGTGCGATTGTATTTTAAAAATCATTCTTCTTTATGTAAAATGTTTAGTTAAAGCAGTTTTTGGTAAATGATTTTTATTCAACCAGATATGGGGAAAATCCATTGCTTTACAGTTCAATTTATTTCAGTATTCAAACTTGGAGTTTATTAGTTTATATTAGAACTCTCTCCTATAACAGTATTACCAAAATTCAGAAAATTATATACAATAGGCAGATATGACAAAATCCAATACCGCCATAATTTCTCAGTTAGCGTATACAATATTTTGACATGACGTTTTTGTATAAATTATTCTCACAATTTATTTTCAACATAGAAAAATGAAACAAGTTTAGATTGGAAAGTGCCCATAAGGACAATGTAAACACTATTTGGCGCTATTCTTGCAATTGTCGCGACCCGAAGCTTCTTCCGAAGATAATTTCGGATCGGTTCGGCTTTTTCCAGAATTATGTCGCCACATTATTTATTCAAATTTATTATTATTTTCTTTTAATTTTATAAATAAAATACACTGTGTTGCATACAAAAAACTTTATTTTATATAAGGACATGTACGTGAAATACCTATGAAACATTAGAAACCGACGTTATGCCACTATCCACGATGGTTTTGCAGTCTACAGTTCACACCTCAGTTTTTTAGTTTTTAATGCTACTTTTTCACAATTATCACGGGTTTGAGTAAATAAAATTTAAATTAAACTCACAAGATAGTAATATTACTTTGAGAATGGACGCTTTAAACACTTTTTGGGATTTTTTCAATAAGTGCTGTTTAAATTTTGAAATATTTTATGATTTTTGAAGATTCTGACTTTGGCAAGAGAAAATTATTCCTGTTATTGTTGGCGGTTGTTCTTAGCAACCGCTATAGCAGCGCCAGATCGCGTACAACGGTCACGACCTAAAAAAATTATATATTTTGACGGGCTTTCCAATCTAAATTTATTTCCTTTATCTATGATTCTCAATATGAAAATGCGATCTTAACCTAACTTTTTAGTTCAGAATTTTCGGTTTTCGAATAATTAGTATAATTTTAGTTAAATTATACTCATATACAGTAAGCAAAATTTTGATATGGCAATTCTGCATTCCCTCCCGTATTATATAAAATAAGTGAATCAGAAGAGCAACGATATTCATAGTTTTGAAATCCCCCCCCCCCCCCTAAATATCACATCCCATATCGCTCGATTATAATAGTAGATTATGTACTGGTTTATGTACAGGGTGGCGCACCTCATTCGCCTCGGTTGATTATACGAAAACGGAAAGATGTAGAAACAACATTTTTTATGGGTTTATGTCAAGAACAGTTAACCTAATAGGACTGCTCATTCAGCCAAAAGTGTCAGCCAGGTGCATGCGAAAACTCCTCGCTTTGTGACGTCATTGTAGTCCTTGTCATGGTTATTAGTCCTTATCCGGCAACCAATAATACACACACGTGCATTATTGGTTGCGGGGTGCAAAACGTTCATTATTTAGTTTTATTTATTTAAACACCTTATATGTATGCAGTATAGAAAATTAACTGTATAAATCGTATTAAATACTCGGATAATGCATTTTTAAGAACAGTAGTTCCCAGCATCACCTTTTTCAGGCATTCTTTTTAGAGTATTTCCATATTTTGCTTTAAAATAATTAATAAACAATATCGTAGGCACTTAGTAAGCACTTTGTCACAATCCACAACACAATCTGAACGTATTTATACACTCTATAGCTCTAAAAACTTTAAAAACACCTTTTTCATATTTAAAATTGACAAAATAATTAACTCAAAATTTCTCAGCTGTTATTTTTATAAGTATACCATATGCAACTAATAATACACACTATCATGACAAGGACTACAATGACGTCACAACTGTCAGCTGAAGCGCGGGAAGTGGCGAACGTACGTCTTATGAGGATGAGCAATCCTATTAGTTTACCGTTCTTGGGTTTATGTAGAGAGCCAATGTGGGGGGGGCATAATTTAAAATTATTTTCAAATATACAGGATGTGTTAGAACTAAATTCTATAACAAAATTATATTTTTTCTTATGGAACACTCGGTATTTTATTTCATTTTTTAATTCTTGGGCATAAAATAAGGCATTTATTTTTTTTATTAAGGGTTTAATATGTTTAAAAACTTTGGTTCTTGAGATATTTAAAAATATTTAAATATGCACGCTATAAAATGTGTGTCAACACCCTGTACATTACTTTTCAGAGTTAATTCTTGTGCTGGCTTTGAAACCAGAGAAATGAACTTTACTAAAAAAATGATTGCTACCTTGTATGTATACAGAGGTATCAAAAATTGCAGGTCTATTTTAAATATTTTATATAAAAACTTCGTTATTTCAAATACAACACTATGTATTTTTTTAAATAAGTCTAAGCAAATTTAAGTGTTCTTTCAAACTATGTTAGGGTTACCTCTATACTAATAAAAAGCGATTTTTCAGTAAAATGGCATTCAAGATGGCTGATGTCGCCATGGCAAGTTGCTAGTGACAGTTAGTAGCTATTTTCAAAACTGACATTAGTTTATGGACTTTATTGAAATTTTGAAAGAGCAATTAAATCTGCTTCGACTTATTTAAAAAATATGTAGTGTTATGTAAAATAAATATTTAAAACAGACCATCAATTTTTGATACCCCTGTATACATTTAAGGAAGCAATCAATGTTTTTAATAAAGTTTATTTCTCTGGCTTGAAAGTCAGCACAAGAATTAATTCTGAAAAGTAATGTACAAAGTGTTGACAATTTTTTTTTATTATAGCATGCATATTTAAATAACTTTAAATATCTCCAAAACCAAAGATTTTAAACATATTAAACTCTTATAATAAACGGCTTATTTTATGCTCAACAATCCAAAAATGAAATAAAATACCGGGTGTTCCATAAGAAAAAATATAACTTTGGTATGTATCTTAGTTCTGACACACCCTGTACATTTCAAAATAATTTTAAATTATGCACATTGCCTTCCCACATATACCCATAAAAAATTTTGTTTCTACATCTTTTCGTTTTCGTATAATCAACCGAGGCGAATGAGGTGCGCCACCCTGTATAAATGTATTTATTCATTTACTCATACACGTAAAATAACGTTACAATAGGCTTAGAATAAAAAGTTTTAGTAAACAAAAATGTTTTCTTTCCTTGTTCTAATGGTTGACAAGAACACCATAAAAATCACGTATAAAACTGCATCTATTAGACAGATCTGATCAAGCTGATAATGCCTACTAAAAATTATTTGTGTACTCTTCGCAGTCTGTCTGGTGAGAGACAGTATAATGTTAGTTATGTTCATTTATTATAGTAAGCTTTTTCCTGTCACTTTTGCATGTCACCTGTCAAACTTGTATAATATGTTCTCTTGCCGGACAGACTATATTCTGACATTATAGATTGTAGATTAATAGTTTACCAATCACTGCTTATTGGATTCTGATTTTATTGTATTTTTATAATTCTGTATTATATAAATTACTTGTCAAATACTTCAATAATTTTTGGTTGCGAATTTACCCAATCACCAATATCGGGGCCCAGTAATATTGAAATATTTTTTTTTGCTTTGCATTAATTGCACCAAATGTATATATTTTAAAAATTCTCGTTTTTATCAGTTCTGAAGAGGGAAGAAAAGTGGATGATAGATTGACATATACAAATTTATTTCTGGATTATGAATTTTCTATGAATTTTCGTTTTATTTTGGGCTTTGATTCTAAATCTTTTCGACAGTCGAAATCCATGTGAAACCTGATTAAATTGAATTTGTGCTTTAAAATAATAATTGTATAAGTTAAGATAAATGTTTAGTTTTTACTCGTCCATAACACCTACTGCCTATTTGATTATCAGTCACTATATGATTATAAATACTCCTGCATTCTTTTTACTATTTTTTTATGCCTTTCGATCTAAATGTAATTTTATCCTTTAACAACTCTAGTAAACCTGTTAAGAGGTCTAAAGTTAGCTGGTCAAGAAGAAATATCTCAATTACCTTAAATTTATCTACAAACGTGGCCATTTTAAACTTGTTATAGAAATGTAACTAAAATAAGCTTGTTCAGACGAGTATTATCAGGAATACTTTCGATCTTGAAAAAGATTTAGAATCGGAGCCCCGATAAAGATGAACGAATTTGATAATGGTCAATTTCTAGGATATTTGAAACGAAATTAAAGAATGATAACCCTAAAATGCGGTATCCTAGTAACCGGAATGAATCTGTGTAAGCACCATTTTTTTTCGACTTATTTTTGTCGTTCGCTAGACTACAGCTTGTCGTTTTTGATGCATCTAGGTATCGAGACAGGAGCAGGGACAGAGAACGCGATAGGGATCGCGACCGTGAGCGCGAGAGAGACAGATATTACACGGATAGTTACAGGGAGAGGGAAAGAGATAGAGATCGTTCCAGGAGTCGCGAAAGGCTAGAGAGAGAACGGGAAAGGGATTACAGAGAAAGAGAACCTGAAGAGTAAGTATTTTAGAATCATTATTAAATTATATGAAGAATGGTTCGGCGATCGTTCAATGTTACGTCATCATTATTTGTCATTTATGCGTTTTTTAGGGTGTGTCTGAGATCAGTTCATATCTTTATTCAGTTTTTGTTTAAATGATCGTGTTTACCAGTTATAAAAATATAGGGTGGTCCCAGTTGTATTCGGGAAATTTTGGCAGTTTATTCTTAAAAAAAGTAAAAAGTTCCTAAATTAAATTTATCATTTGGTACATTCAGTACATATCCCCATTTCAGTCACATAACTATCTAATCAACATATTTATTTGTCAAAAATGACATGTATTGACTATTTCCATTCCAAATATCTTGAAAACGGTTGCTAGGGGCGATTTTTACCAAGAGACATTTTTTACGTAAAAAAATACGGAAATGTATATTTTTTACTCCATCGTTTTATACAGGTACGGACGAAAAGTTATTATGCTTCACATCAGTTAAAAAACTTGTAGGTGACGCCCCCTAGAAGTAGGAGTCATATTGACATCGAAATCAAATTTCTCGTTTCAAAAAACACCAATTTTCATCCGTAATATCGACGTAATTGAATTACGACGACCTAAAATTAATTGGAACAAAAACTTAAATTAGTGCTCTCTGCGGCTTTGTCAGGTCGTTGTTATTTAGTTTACCCCTCTGTTACTGCAGCAGTTGTGTTTTAAAAATAAAACTCAAAAACAACACTTAACTATTTTAAAATTGAAATAGATGAAAGGATAAAGCAATTTAAAAATTGACAGAGTTATAATATTGAATATCAAAACAAAGATTAAAAAAGCATCAGCAACTCGCTATATCATTTAAAAAAGTCTATCAATTTGTATTTTACATACACATTTGCATTGTACTTTCTCCTTATACAGCGTCTACGAGCAAGATTATTCACCAGCGTCTCTTTCTGGAGAAAAACGTCATCATTATATGCTTGAAGGCATTTTTGTAATTCAAAATATTGAATTTTATCTGACAGCACAAGCAATTTTTAGGCTGTTTTGTTTCTTACCTCGGTTATGGTTTATGGTTTTCTGTTCCGTTTCTGTGTTTCCAGAAATTTTTATTATTACAGAACATTTCCTTAAAAAAAATCTGTCAATATTGCCAACAAATTAACCAGCGTAAAAGTCGTTTTCCTGGTTCTTTTGTTCATTAACTCTTATTCTATCTTTTTGTTGTTGCAAAAAATGCTTGAAGTGTCTGACGCGTTTAACAGCTCATTTACAAAGTGTTTTTTCAAAATTAAACCCCATTCAAAAGATACATCCAGTATGAGTTTAAAATTCTACCTATTATAATAAGAATATTGGAATTTAAAAAACATCAGTATTCAGCATTTCTGCTATTTTGTCAAACTGTTCCGTATTATACCGGTATTTTTCAGGAGCCCATCCTTACCGTAGTTAACCTGCTTTTACAATGGAATATAGCTTTAATTTTGACATTGATTGAGTCCGTCATTAAAATTATAGTCATAAATAAATGGCAATTGCCAATGTGGAGTAATTTACGAAATGCTGTAATGACGTCATCAATCTCTTTCATCTGGTTGCCAAGAGGTAGAAAGAGCACGACAGTGTATGACGTAACGTTGATCGATCGCCAAGCATTCTCTATATCGTTTTTATCATTAGATACAGCAGCCACAAAATATCCTAAATCAATAAATATAAAAATGGCTGTCTTATATTTGAGATCAAAACTGTTTTTAATTCTTTACATCGGCAAATAACTAGAAAAATGAAAGATATTAATTTTGACCTAGGCCACGAGTGTCCAGACCCAGGAACAAGTCGCCGGTGGAGCCGCCCGAAGCTAGCGCCGATACTTCGTCGAAATCCCGCTACTACGAAGAGCGCTCGTATCGCGAGAGAGAACGAGAATCGGGTCGCGGTCGCGAAAGCGAGAGGGAAAGAGATAGAGATACTAGGGATAGGAGAGACGAATCTCATCGGTCCCGCCACTAAAGCGCGCGTCGGTATCAATTTACCGCCTTTTTCTTTTCAAAGTACAGTGTTAGCATTTTATTTGATTTTCTCATTTTAATATTCGTTAAAACATAAGTTATAAGGGTTTTTAGTCAAGATTAAGGGTATATTACCAAAAATGGCATATGCTGTCAAATGTCACAGATATTTACATAAACTATATATTTTTTCAATAGGAATGGGAGATTCTTTGGGCCTTCTAATGTATAGGGCGTCCCATTTAACAAATATTTATATCTATATCTGACTTTTGACATGGTATGCCATACGTGGATTATTCATATTAAAAAACTTGACCAAATGCTCTGTAAGTTGATTTTTAAGGAATGTCAAATTCAAACCGGTTAAATGTGGTAGAAAATAAAATGCTAACACTGTGTCATTGGCTTGCTTGTAACACTTTCTATATTTTAGGAATATTAACTAAGTGTAGAGTTTCTTTTTAGTAAGGAAGTTTTAACTGATTTCGAACTATTTCCAAAAAACTCGATTTTGGCGGTTTTCGCGAAAATTTTAATTGTATTTTTCAAATCACTCTATTCGTGTAAGGTATCATGTACGATTAGTATCTAGAATATTAAATGCTTCGGTTTAATTTCCTCTATATCTCTTTGATTTTGCTGTAAAATTACGGAAATACACTCAACATAGCCAATCAACTTAGATTCGTAGTCTTTGATGTTTATCGTTGGTGTAATCGTATAATTATTCGGTGTTTTCGGACAAGTTCAGCGAGGAATTTGAAGAAAAGAAGACAAATCAAAGAAGAATGTACAATTTGGATTAAAGAAATTGTTTGGAAAATATATTTTTAGTGTTTTTGTGTTTAATACTCACCTCACCTTTTATTTTGTATTTTTAAAATTGATTTCTATATTTTTGGCTATATAATTTTTACTTCTGAATAAGTTCAAAATTGATTTTATTAACGAATTTTGGCACTGATTTTTAAAACGTTAATGTTTTATGTTTTTATTGTAGTGGTTTTTGAAAATTCACATCCCATTTTTTGGAGTGATACTTTATGTACCAGATATATTTATTTACCGAATATTTTTAAAAGCCATGTGTTTAAGTTCAAACAGCAATATATGGGGATTTAAACTCACATTTTGCTATAAGTTTAACTGTGAGTGTATGTTTATATTTGTCTGTGATTTTGTATTTGAAAATTCTCAATATTGAATTCAAAAGTACCTGTATATAAATGCGATCGTGTATATAAACATTTTCGAATGTCTATATACAGTATATTCAAAAAAAACGGTGTCAAGATACTTTAAATAACGATCGATGACATTTCATATGTAAAATTAACGCCGTTTTTTTATCGGTATGATCTGAAAAGTGTTCTGAAAAAGCTTCATATCAGATTTTCTATTTCTGATTTTTACGCTAATATCAAATGTACATATCTATACTGAGAGATTTTTGAATTATTAAAATTTTTGGTTTCAACTTCACAAATTATTTATTTCTAAGTGTTTTGTGATTGTGCTCTTTTTAATACTAATTATACATATTTAAATACTAAATTATCACAGGATATACAGAGCATGGTACCGTAAAACGGGGCCACTTCGGATAGTTTTTGAGGTTTTTTGTAAGTTACTTGACCTAAGTGTGTTCAAATTCAACCAATATTTTTTGTGTGGGTTACTACATCCTTCCCCTATGTCTAACTAAAAAAAATGTGGAACTTTCTTTTTCTAACGTATATATTTTTATGTTTGAAAAGTGTCCGAAGTTATCCCCATAGGTGGGGTAACTTCGGACATGCCTTTAAAAATGTGTAAATTTGATGTTATACCAGTTAAAAGGAAACTTCGGACAAAAATATAAGTTTAAAAAAAAATCAAGCTCATTTTTTAATAAAAACTCAAAATTAAAACTTCAAACATTATTTAAGACATTTTTATTAAAAAAGATTTGATTATTTCTAAAAATATCAGTCAAAAACTATGCCTCTTCCTCGATACTCATCACTGGTTGCCGTTCTGGATTCTTATCATGAATCTCCTTAACTTTATCCCCAATTGTGGATTTGGGAATCTTATAATACTCAGCCGACTCTCTTAAGGTTTTTCGCTTTGCTTTGACATCTACGACTGCTTGCTGTAACTTCTCTGGTGAATAATTTTGGTAGGGGCGACTCCCCAGTTGCTTTTTGTAACTTCAAACCATGTCCGAAGTTAGCCTTCAAAATATGATTTTTTTGCTTACGACCATCTGGAAAAAAAAATTGAACGATTAAAAATCTTCAAATTACATAAAACACTTTCAGATAATATACCTACTGAATACTAAAAAAAGTACGACTTTATGAACAATAGGTTTAGTTGTACGCCAGTTACTTTTTCCACTTTAAAAAAACAACAAAAATTGCATACTTACAAAAATTGACGTAAAAAATACGCCGGGCCCGAAAAACACTCGATACTTAAGAAACGTCCGAGGGCAACTGTTTTAAACACGTTCCAGTCCACACGCGGATGCTTTGATGATTTCGCTACCCCCTTCATATTTTTTCTTTTTTAAGGACCCGTTGTCCGAATTTACCCTTGCTGTCCGAAGTAGCCCCGGTTTAGGGTAACTTATTGGGTTAAATAATTTTTCTATGAAAAATTGATGTTCATACACGAAGTCTCTGTTCCAAATTTGAATAATACTAATTTATTGTTGAAAATAGGTATATTATTAATCACAAATTCTTGATAGTTATGATGATTAGACATTAAAATATTAATTTTGGATGTAGGAAGTTCATAACAAGACATAATGTTGGAAAAAGCTGTTGTGACTTGGTATTAAATATTTGTTGTAAAAAAGATTAGTGAAAATACGAAAAAGGAAATCTAATAACATTTTCTGAACACTGGGTTCTGTTATCTAGTGCACATTATACGCACTGAATAAATTAACTGTCAAATGCAGATGGCTGTGTTATAAGACTAATTTATAGATTTAGGAAACTGTATTTTACTTATTTGTTCCTTTATATTTATAATTTTATTTTATATAGAGTATATTAAATTTTTACATGTTTCGAAGTATAAATGAGCTAGTTCTAACAGAAGCAAAAATCAAAGACAAATAAATTTGTTTTCAGGTTTCAGAATTATTTTAGCATATCATTTTTAATAAGTGTGTACATCGTGAAAGAAACTAATCAAGCTAAACTTATGAAAGTATTTTATCAGTTGTTTAAAAAAACATTCCAGTGTAGTGTATATGTGCAAAAAATACACTTAATCTTATTTTTATTAAAAATTTGCAACTTTGTATAGCTCTTGGATTATTCCAGTTTTTTACTTTTACTACCAGAGGTATAAAATTGTGTAACTACACTCACCAACACGAAAAATGTGCACCTTAAAATATTGATGTATTTTAAAGTTTAATAAATTTCGTTCTAGTTGGCCGATTTAGGTGATTTTTTAAGCAATTTGTAGCTAAATTATTTGACTTTTCAGTATCTCTTTCTAAATTAAAAATAAAAGTTTCCATCGGTCAATTATACGAGGGAAAACAAAATGTTGCTATTTTGGTGAAAGTTTGGAACGCCCTGTGGATATGTTAACAAAACAAGGATTTTAAAAATCATTTTATCATCTAGGTACGTCTTTTCTTGAGAGTTTGTTTTTGGATTCATCACTATAGCTTTATTTTTATTGGGGATGTTCGCTTTTGACTAAGACAGTAACGATTTACAGTAATTTTAGAATTGATTTTGAATCCTCATTACCAGTCATTGGAGCCGCTAAGTCATTGGAGCCGCTATCGATCATACCTTGTTTTCTTTGTATCATGTATTATTATTATTTACTCTGGTAGAGATGGTTTTAAGTTCTGAAGTATCAGCTATTGCTGCTTTAATTTATCATGGCAGAGATCAACTTTTGGACTTAAAGCCATATCTGCTAGAGTAACTGCTTAAAGGTGCGTTCACACCGGCTGCGCCGCTCCGCGCCATTTTCATTCATTCATTTTTTTAACGTGTACTTTTGAAGTGTATTTTTTTAGCGCGCACAAAAGTTGAAAAAATGATTTGAATGGCGCGGCGCGAAGCGGCGCAGCCTGTGTGAACGCACCTTAACAGACAAAAAATATTTGATTTTTCAAAGACAGTGATATTACATAAATCATAATCACAATCATCAATCACACTGTTTTATAGGTTTGTTTGACTAGGACCGAAAGCAAGGGTATTGTTTTAATGTAAAAAATATACGAAAAAATGTTGGTGTCTTTCAAAAGCGAATATCTAAAAAAAATACGATGTACTTAAACAGCCGTTAAACGGTAGCCTACTAAAATGCCGTTAATAGATATTGTGACGTCGTTCATGTCGGCGGAAAGTAATGCCTAGCCTTAAGCATTCTGCAAGAGCACCTGTGGGTCAGTGGCTGAGGCTATCGCTTCGTAAGCGAATGGTCCATGGTTCAAATCTCACGCCGACCAAGACTTTTTTATATTTTTTTTGCTTATAGCGTGATCTTATTGCCTTGGTTTCACTCTTTTTAGTTGGATTGGTTTAGTTATTTGGCGGGTTGGTTAGCGTGGTTATTTGGAGGGTGTTAATTCATTGGTTAGTTGGTTATTTGGTGGGGTTGGTTGATTTTTACTAATTTATATTTGTTTTTTATATTTTTTATCAGTGTCGACGTTAGTTGCGTTGGTTATTTGGTGGGGTGGATAGCGTTGGTTAGTCCTTATAAAATTTCTATATTTCATAAAGCCGTCAAGTGCGTCACATCAACGACGTCATACCTATTAACGGCATTTTAGTAAGCTACCGTTTAACGGCAGTTTAAGTACAGCCAAAAAAATAAAGCTATTAAGATGAATCAAAAACCAAATATTGAGGAAAGATACAACCAGATGATAAAGTGATTTTTTAAATTCCTTGCTTTGTTGACGTACTCCACAGGATGTTGCAAACTTTCACCAAAATATAATTTTGTTTCCCTTCATAATGTAATTGACAGATGCCAACTTTCGTTTTTAATTTAGAAAGAGATAATAAAAATTTAAAAATTTAACTACAAAAACTGCTTTCAAAATAATCAAAATCGGCCCACTAGAACAAAATATATTAATCCTTTAAAATACATGAAAATTTTCCGTTGTTTCGTGCCTGTTAGTGTATTTCTTTATTTGGCATATAAAGTAAATTAAGATAATCCTAAAATATCTGTTAAAATAATAAAGTTTTGGACCACTTGAGACCTTTTAAGACATACTGGTATCATACACGTAAGAACAAAGAAGTTTTTTAGGCAGTAAATTAATATATTTGTAAAGGAAATATATTTTATAGAAGTATGTAATGTATAAATGCCTATAATTGCATTCTTTCTAAAGGAAATTCACTGAAATAAGCAAAGACTGATAATACCTAAGACTTAAATGTATTAATTTAAATGACAATAAAAAATTAAAAGTAAAATTGTTACAAATCATCTGTGTCTGACTCTGAGTCAGCTTCCATTGCTTGCTTAGCAGCTCTTTCTGCTTCCTGATATACATTATCCGGTACTTTTTGATGAAGGCCGTTGCTCTCTTTGCAAACCCAAGAAAGTTCCAATTCAAAGTTCTTATCCTTGAGCTCATCGTGAACCAAGTAAATTCTAAAAGAAAAAAATATGTTTCGAGAGGAGAATCAATGCACATTTTTGTGAAGCTTACATTTTTGCAGCTTCTTTGGCTAATTCTCTGCAGGGCAATTGAGATACCTTTAATTTTTCAATTTCTGTTTTTGCTGCTTGTTTGGCCTTGCCAGTGGCACACCCATGATAACCCTAATAATAATTTGAATTAATTTATATAATTTCCGCTAAATATTTAAACTTACATAACTAACTCCTGAAGGATCGATTGTATACATGGTTGGTTCTCCATCTTCGTAACTGGCTAAAATTACACTACAGCCATAAGGCCGTATAGCACTGTACAGAGTATAGGCATGCATGTACATGCTAACTCGATCATTTAAGTATTTCAGAGGGATACTAACGCCATATTGTTGCCTGTAGTCAGCCGCTTCTCTTCTTGCTATTTGAACTACCTGACGTGCATCAGCAATAAGACCAGAGAATGCCTAAATAAATTAAAGAAAAAATGGTATTTCATCATGACTGATTATACCTATCAGCAAATTTTACCATTCCAATATGCTTGTCGATATTAAATATTCTTTGATTAGTTCCAGGTTCATGTAACTTTGAAAGAATAAGTTTTTCGGCAGCTAAAATAATTCCATCAGATCCTTTCAAACCGAGAACGGTTCCACTATTTTCAACAGCTTTCATAGCATATTCTACTTGGAAAACTCGCCCATCGGGAGAGAATTGGGAAGCCGACAAATCATACTAGGTATAAAGGTATTAAGATGTTTTACTAAATATATAAAACTAATAATGTAGTACTTACTCCTGTCCCAATAGAACTCATCTTTTAATTTGCTTAATATTTTGAAGATCAAAAATCTTTTAAGATGACGAAGCTGTTTACTCCTTTGAAAAAGTTGCTTGTTTGCAAAATTTCTAAGGTTAGTGTTTGATCAGGAATATTTTCTTCTTTGCGTTTTGTTGATTTTTTTGTCACACCATTTCAAGGATGGGCATGTATAAAATCCATTGTGAAAAAAAATTGCCCTGGCAGCAGTGGCCGCATGACTAACCACAGATTAAGCTACGGATAATTTTTTTTTAAATTATCTGTAGCTTAATCTGTGGTTAGTCTTACGGCTACCGCTGCCAGGGCCCTGTATTAGGGCAATCTAGACTATTTGTTGTGTCAATAATCCTGAAATAAAAAATTACCACAGAAGAATTTTCGCGAATCAAGTTATGACCATCTTTATCTATGGTTAAGGCCTTAATGTTACCATTTTTTTCTGTGGTTAGAAAACATATGACTTATAAAAACTAGGTTATTTAAGGTGTTTTTTGAGACTGTTTTATAAGTTTATTTTGTTTACAATGGAGCCCCAATTTCCTTTATTTAAAACGATTTTATCATACGCTGTATTTATAATTGCCTCACCGGTCGCTACTTTTTTTATTACCAAGTTTTTCATTTTTGAAGGTTGTATTTATTTGAATTGGAAAACTTCTTAATTTAACTTGTTCACAATATTGCAGGACTACTGGGAATAGCAAGTACGGGCGCAAATATATGGTCGGCGGTGCTCGCAATAATTATGCTCCATATAGCAATGGGATTATATATTTATAGGGCATACTTTGAAGCTGATAAGATGAAACCTCAAAAAATAGACTAGTCATGTGATGCAAGCTGCAGACGAATAGTTTGGAGCATTTTTTTAGTTTTGTATTATTTTACTGCAATTAGTGCAGAGGTATTTAATTTAAAAGGACTATTGTTTATTTATTCATACCTTATTATTGATATGGGGAAATCTTTTCTCTATAAAATATATTCAAAATATACTATTAAGTTAGTGCCCTTGTAAGATTAATATGCATATTATGTAAAAATTGAAATATCAAATGTTATTTTATGGAAACTATTGTACAATTAGCTGTATTTATATCTTTAATTTTTATATTTTGAAGATTCCATGAGATAACTTTAAAATAGCATTTTATAAAATAAAACTAATTTTTTTAAGTTTGTTTCAGTTTAACTGTTTAATTTTTAATAGATATATGCCTAGTACCCTTTATACAAGGATTAAGAATATATAAACAAGGATAATAGGTACCATATTACCTATTATCTGTAAAATATAAAAAAAGGAAAAACATTAAATGGTAATGGTAAGCATTTCATCTTTTTATCTCAAAGAAATCATGTTTTTTTATAAAATTATATATATATAAAAAAATAAAATTATATATATTTTTTTATTTAAAATTATATAGTTTTAGAAGTACTCTAATTAAAATATTCATAATCAGTGATGGGTGGTGGTTAAATACCCTGGTTGTAATTTGGATATATACCTGGCATGTACCAAGGAGGTAAACTCCCATTGAGAGTATTTTATTTCATCGGGAAACCCCCTTGTAAAATTCGATTATTCAAACCAAGACATGAGATTTTGCTACAGGTGTTTGACATGTCGACCTCCTTCTGTTATGGACAGACGGGACCGTTTTTGAACATTTCTCGCGGAATTCATTAACTCAGTGGGGGTGAAATATACTCTCACATAACCGCTAAATATTTTTAATTCTTGTCTAGATTATAGGGGCAATTTAAAAATAAGAACCTTTATTCTTCTGCAAAGATAAATATCCACTAAGGATAACTGGCACTATGTCCGGCGGCCTCGACGGCCAACGGCTGGGATCTTGGTTAGCTATTCAATTATTCTCGAAATTGGGTGCACAAATTTGCTGATAACTTCAACGTCCTGAGACGGTGCCTCGTCTTGCTGGTAAAATATGTTTTCGAGTTCCATTAGGGGCAGATCATCAATAAGGGGTCCAAAACCTACTAGTTAAAAGTGGCGAACTTTAAAATTCTTAATTCTCTTTCTATTCTGTATTTCGAAGGGGACTATGACAAAATATCAAGTGTACTATATTTTTGGAAAGGTAATTTTAAGTTCTTTTCATTTTATTAAAAATATTCAGTGTGTCCAAAATAAAAAAAAATAATTTTTCTGTTGATAACCCTTAAATTATTAATTTTAAAAAAAATATATAATTGAACCATTAAATCGAAAAAGATGCTTTATTTGGAAATTTTTTCAAAAAATACAAAATTTTCCGTAACAAAAAAGTTATAGCGATTTGTTAAAAATGCACATTTTTGAAAAACACTTAGTAACTAAAACATAAATCGATGTGCGGTTTTCACCAACATGTTTTAATAAAAATTGAGCTCCAGCCACCAATATTAATTTTCGCCTATCTCCTATAGGAAAGGGTGTTTCCCTTTAAAAGCGTAAATTTGACCCACCCTGTACACTTGTAATTTTCTGTCACCCTTACTACATTAAAACGATTTTCCTCTCTTTGCGAAATAACGCAATACCCCAATATGCCTGTTTTTTAAAACAATATATTTGTGTTTATAATTTTCTATTTTAAATATTTTTTCGCTAAAAAACAGCAAGTAAATCCCAGCCAGAGGGAAAAACTCTACGCCAATATATCCTTCATACCAGACAAGAAAATAAGAGAAAAACGACAACCGCAAACAGGAATTTCCCATAATCTGTCCTCAACGTCAAATTTTGCCACAGCCGCCGGACGTATCGGTCGGTCAGCTGTCCCGACTGTCCGCGCTGTGGACACGCAGGACAATGGAAAAGTAAGACAAATCGTTAAAAATTAGACTTATTTCCATTCCGCGTTACGCTCAGAGAGATTATGCGGGGTGGTAAGTTGAAAAATGACCCACGTTAAAAACAGATAGAGATTAACAATGAATCTGGTGTGCGGCGTGGTTATTATATCGGGTTTTTGTTTTTGTCTTATTTTGAATGAGAATTTATATAATACCGTATGATCGAAAAAAACGGCGTCAGAGATTCAGATTGGTCTGAAATGAAGATCGCTGTCATTTTGCCTGTTAAATTACATGGGAATCGATCGTCATCGATCGTCATATAATTGCAAGCCAACTGAACGCCGTTTTTTTCGATCATGCGGTATAATAAATATAAAAAACAAAGTTTCGTTAGTTACACCATTTACAAAACAAAAACGCCTGGACCGATTTTAATGATCTGTATCAGATTTGTCTCCGCCTAGAAAATTATTGTTTACTAGCGTGTACCAGCGACTTCGTTCGCGTCGAATTAATCATTTTTAATGGTGGTGATAAAGCAAAGCAAGAATTTCCATTAACATACAAACTGGATAAAATTTTCTCACATTTATGTCAGCATGAGAAAAAATAATATGGCGATATTATTATATAACTTGGTAATATTTGAGGGATAGTTTCATCTCGTTGGAATTCGAGTTTCGAAAAATCCCTTCTTATCGAACCTCTAAACCCTAAAGTCAATCTGTTTTCCAAAAATCAGCTTTTTATTGTATATATTGGTATATATTATACTAGGTTTGGAACTCCGCAATTAACAGCTCACGTAACGCACGCTTGTAGGCTTGGTGCATTTCAGATGATTTCAACAAATTCCGACCGCAGCGCCTCAACGGCAGAAATCAGAAATTATCAGTACATATTTCATGTCGCCGTTCGGGTTGCATATCTGTAAACGACGTCCATGATCGCGATTCGGTTCTAGGCCGAACGATACCACGTAAACAACATATTTATCGCAAATCCGCCGATTCCAAATTTTAACTGCCTTATTAACACCTCTTATAAACACCAGACGATATCGCGAAATTTATTAATGTTTTGCTCGTAATCAGCGCTCAGGATCGCAAATTTTGTTTGTCAACACAAATTAAACGAGCTAAAAATAAAAAAGTTTTTTTTTCAAGCGGTCACCCCTTCCAGTAACAACCACACATATTGCTGCTTAACATTGCTGATCGTACGAAAAAATACACGTTGACGTGCTGTTGATTCATAAAGATTTCGATTATTTAGAGGACTATAAAGTAAAACCTAAATTGGTGTCGAGAAATCAACAGAAAATAGATTTTCAGGTGACACTATTTTATGTTCATCCAACTTACATACGTATGCAAATTACTTAAAAGAAAATAGAGATATAATATATTTTATATAGAACTCAATATAAATTTCTTATACCTAACTTTTCTTAAAAAAGAGATTTGTCCTTAACTATAAAAAATATTCAAGAAGGAACTAAGTTACAATAAGGTGCCCGGTGGCGTAGAGGTACAGGCTCTCGTCTATCAATCTCAAGGTGTGGGTTCGATTCCCACACCCGGCATTTCATCAGCCGACTATTTTTATTAAAATAAAAATAGTTTGGGTACCTAGGTCGACTCAGCCTTAAATGAGTACTTGGGATTCACAATCCTGAGGTAATAATAGGTGGTTGAAGCGTAGTGCTACAGCCACATTACCTTCCTTGTATACCGAACGGCTCTAGTATAGCAAGCTGTACCTTGCTACTCCCATGGCGTTAAACGCTATATACGGGAGCTATTATTATTATTAACTAAGTTACAATCTTCTTGTACCAGAAAAACTCAAATTTTACCTGCAAAGAAACTACACGAAGTGTAGTTTTTGTTTTAAATTTCCGAAGTAAAGCATGGTCATTCTGTAAACATTGGGTAAAATGTCCTGGAAATTTAGAACATTCTGTAACTTTATTCATTTCAGGCATTAGGTAAGGATCATCGGCATCCTACCCAAGCAGCATTTGGACGTCGGGACAACGTTGTGTCACGCGACCAAACGTCGGGGCGCAACGTCGGCACAACTTCGTGCCAACCCTAGTCTGCACTAGTTTGGAGAATAATTTTTGGGTCGAAACGACGTTGGATACCGACGTTGGCTAGAAGCCTAATTTAGTACAAACTACAACGTTGTTTAAAATCCTAATTCACAGAAATACAAAAGTAATATGGCGTCTAAGTCGCGTTTTATCCTAAATTGGGATAATTATAGTAAAAATATTATTTTTATGATTTAGTTAGAGACATATGTCAGATGGCAGCGAAGGAATACAAAACAAAAGTATTTAAGTTTGGAGGATGTTTGAAGATCATAATTATTGAAACACTTTAACCGACTCTGTAACTCGTTACCCAAGGCAAAAAAGTTAAACGCAAACAACTTTATTGATAAATGTATTGTTTCTACTTTGAAAAATACTAATGGGCCTTAAAATTAAAGAAGTTTTAAAAATTTTCTTGAATTTTTTTTTTAGTAAAATGAGAATAATTTATTCGCAGTCGAAAAAATTGTTTCCGCGTGTTTTTTAGGATCAAATATTTCAAGTTAATGTATTCAAAAAGCAGGAATTGCTATTTTAGGAACGAAACATTTTCTTATTTAACAATATGGCGGCTTTCACTTTGTTGTTTTGGAGATTAAGATGGAGTAGTTCGAGTAGTCGCATACTGGACTAATAAAGTCGCAGTTCGGCCTTAACAGGTAGTATACTAGTCGCAAGATTGCCTAATTTAGTCATCCTAGAGTCTAGCTTGTGCCGCACTCTATAATCTAAATAAACGAGGGAGTGGATAAATTATCGGTAATATATGTCGATGTATATTTAAATTTAGTTTTATATGTACCTTTCTTATGTCCCATTTTAATTAAGTTTTTTTATAAAAACAAAAACAGCACTGAACTGTCTGACTGAACAGAACAATGAAGTGAAAATTTAAGATTTAAGGTTATGGTTCAATACAGTTGCAAAAAGGTAGTGACTCGACGTCCTAACAACGTAAGAATAAGGAAATCTAAACAACGTTGGAATTAGTAAAACAAACGACGTTTGCATAACGTTGGAATAGGTCCTGAAACTGACGTCGGAAAACTATATATTGTCCAACGTTGTAACTACGTTGTCCGAATCACCTAAAGATAACTTAAGGCAAAAAGGTTAGAAGGCAACGTTTATTCGACGTCGCAGAAGCTTCTACTTTGCTGTAGTACTAGTCCAACGTCGGCACAACGTTATAAAAACGTTTAAATTTATTTTAATACCGAAGGTAGGGAGCTAACTATTTTTTGTAACTAATCCAACGTTGTGTTTAGTAAACA